AAATGAACTAGACTGTATCTAACTGTGACAGTTGAAGAGCTGGCAAGTTCAAAATATATTATGAATATATCAACAAAGTTGAAATGGTAAATTGGCCACCGTTACGATTATAAAAGCTGACGTTTCGAGCGTTAGCCCTTCGTCGGAGCGAAAACATATTAAAATATATTTCAGTTAATATATTTTAGTTAATATATTTTAGTTAAATATATTAAATAAAAAGACATATACATCTGAACGATTTACCATATTTATAAAGTAATTTACTTGACCAATATATGATTTTCATGGGGGTACTCCATGGTGTAGGGCTCCACGTTTTTATCATCTCCCTTCGTGACAGCTTTGACTCCACTCCTTGTTTTGTACTCTGTTAGGGCACGCTCTTTCAACGTATGACAGCACACCTTTAGACCCTAAAATCACACACATTACGCTTGGGCCGCCTGTGATGTATCGAGAATGTCAAAATATGATTCTTTGCACACTGCCCCAAACTTCTTAACAAACTTGAAGGAATGAAAGAATACGGGAGCCGAAATAATCCGAAAACAACATTATAAATTCCAAAAAAACAATTTAAAGTTTTCCTTACCCTCGACACGCTGCTCTTGTTTACTCGCACATCATAAGCGGGTTCTTTATTCCTGGACTTAGTGGCCCTTGAGACAATTTACAGAGAGTTAACAAATCGACAGTGGTTTAGCGTGGTTTGTACTTTTATCGACAACTATATTCGTCAACACAATGGTCAAAAATTGTTTTGAACATTGTGAAGACGAATATCGTTGTCGATAAAAGTACAAACCACGCTCGATTTGTTAAATCCCACGTTTGTAAGTCAATCCGTGAGTCACCAGTCCTTTTTGCCCAAGAACCCCACGGCCGCACAGTGAGAATGAGCGCAAACGTCATGCCAAATTACTTCCGCTTCAACAGACTTGGACAGTAGAAGGCGCCATCTTTCTTTTTTTCTGATATTTTCGTTTTCAAAAGGTCGACAAACAATAATGGTTTTGCAAGAAATAACTCTCTCAAAGTTACTGCGATGTGTTACTCAGTAGAGATCTGACAAAAAAGTTCTCGTGTAGCATTCGAGACATACTATCTTGGTTTTGTTCCCTTGGATTTACTTTAATTTTTATTCTGTTGATCCCTAATCCATCCTTATTGACGTTCTTTCCTACATTTTCTATTTCTTGTACCGCAGCCATGTTGAGTTTTGGGGTGATGGCACGGTCTGGTCCTATATCTGATATCAAGCAATTTAATGTTCCATTCAGCGGAAAAAAGATAATTTGATTGGCAGCCTTGTTCCCAAGTCGTCATTTTGTAATGAAAACGCTTCACTCAGTCTAGCATCAGATTGGATCGCCGCCTGTCATAAGAGGGAATGATGTGATTTGGATTTCTTAGTTTAGAAATAGTAAAGGGGACTAGCTACCACACTACACAAAAAGCCATAAATAAAACTTTTAACTGGTCCTTACGGAATTGTAGATTCTTTAGCACGAATCATTGTGACTCGAATAATCAAACGTTTCCATAACAAAAAAAAAAAAACAACGAAACGGCTGTTTCGTTTTCCCTGCATAGCACACGCTCGAAAGGAATGCAAGGAAAGGGGAGTTCGCGTGCCCAGTTACATAGTATGTCCTCCTGCAAATACATAGACGAGGAATGGTTTCTTTATTACCGTTTAATTACTTTCGATATGAATTTACAAGTTTTCATGCGCCCACAAGTAACTCGAGTGTTACACTTTTTTTTTCATAAGAACGCCTCATTTTGTGGCTAAGGCTGAGCTTTCTCGTTGTAGTTGTTTTCTTTTTTTTTTTTTTCGGGGATTTGAGCTTGTAAATATTCTCAGCATGTTCTTTAAGTTGTGCGATATATTATTTCTATGAAGTGACTCTCACCCTGGGTATATTCTTAGTACGTCCTCAAAATTTTGGTTTACCTCAGCCTGAACGTTCTTATAAAAAGGTTTCTATGAAAAAGAGTGTATTCGGGTCACATTTTAAAATATAAAGTAAAACTATTGCAACAGCATTCATAGTTACAGAAGATTAAGTCTATAATATTGTATAGAGAATAGAACTAAAAAGTTACCTAGGAATAACAAAGTATATAACAAGATTACATTTCAATTTTATCAACTGAGTTGATAGTGCTAATCAGCTATCGTTAGGAGATTCAAAGCTGAAGTTTCGAGCGTTAGCCCTTCGTCAGAGAAAATATAGGAATTTTGGGTGGTGTGTGCGTTTTTATGGGGAAAATGAAGGCTACACAATTTGATGGGATCATGGTAACGAGAATAACAAGAATAAATGAGTTGGATAAAAGCGTTCTTTGATACAGTGGGGATTAAGAGTGCCGGTTAGAAAGATAATTTTTTGTTGTAGAGTTTTGGGAGCAGGCCGTTGTTTGATCTGGTCACACAACGGGGGAAGAGCGCGTTGCTTGACGAGACCAAACAACGGCTGTAAAGGAGACTACAGGATGCGCGGTACCAATGCATTTTGTTTTACAAGAAATGCGTGTTTGGGTTTATTTCTGATAAATTGGAAGGTTTTTGTTTTGCTCTCCATTGAACGATATTTCCATTGGAGTCTTTGGGGTAAATGCTCTTTCTTTTTTTTTTTTTTATAAAAATGCAAACATCAGTTACTTAGCGTGCCATTTCGACCCACACAAAAAATAAGTCTTGCATGCGTAGCATGCCAATGTTTTATTACGCCATGGAAACCATCATGATCTAGCATCTGGAAGAGTATGCTATGATCAACGGTATTAAAAGTCTTTTTCAGATCGACAAAGACTCCACAAGAGAATAAGGGTTTCTTCCTATATGTCTGTTTACGTTATTTAGAATTGCCATCATATTTGCCATTACATATCAATAATATTACTACAATTTACAACAATTAGTAAAATGAACAGAATCAAAATATGCATTGGCGAGGAAACCTTATAAAAACCATTGAGGCTTAAGCCTCGATCAAACGGCGCATGATAGTCGATGATAGTTGATTCTCTTCAAACTATCATCAACTATCACCAACTATCATTCACATGGTCAAACGGCCAAAAACTTTCGTGATAGTTGATGATAGTTCACCGGTAGTCGCGCGAGCAAAGTCACGCGAGTCAGCCAGTCGTCACGGATTGTGAGAGTAGAACCTAAAGCAAATTGTTAATTTGCGAGTGCGACCTCACCTCCATCTCCTGCTTAACTTTTCCTGTGACATCTCTGTTGTGGTAATCATTCGAAAAATGTCCCAAAGGCAGGGCCGGGCTTCATATTCGTCTATTAGACGTAGTATCAGGTCATTACTCCATCTCGCCGTTGAACGTTTAGTGAAACACTGTTTTTGCGGCGGCGTCTCTTCGAATTCCTGCGAGTTGACGCTTTCTCCAGATTCTTGGTTTACAATATTTTCTTTCTCATTATTTTGGGTTTAAAAACGAATTTATGAAGCTGAAACTGAGCCTGACGTGGAGCTTTTGGTGGCCATTTTAAACGAGCCCGCCGATTTTCGGGGAAAACAGCTGACCAAAAACTATCATGAACTATCCTACGCGTGGTCAAACGAGAAAAACTATCATCGGCTATCATGAAGAATTTGAACAAGCTCAAAATGAATGATAGTTGGTGATAGTCGATGATGGTGCATTATAGTTGGAGGTCAAACGGAAGCGCGCGCTTCAACTATCATCGGCTATCATCAACTATCATCGACTATCATGCGCCGTTTGACCAGGGCCTTATATGCCTAGGTTTTCTAACAAGCAATACAAAATAGATCGAGACAAAGAAAATAGCTTGTTGCCAAATTAGATATAACGCCTTAATACTGCTAAAAAATCATAGTCGGCAAGAAACTCATAAGCAATTAGAAAATCAAAAAATTAACATTTTATCGGAGAAAGAAAGAGAGGGGGATAGAGAGAAAGGGGTGGGGAGAGAGAGAGAGAGAGAGAGAGAGAGAGAGAGAGAGAGAGAGAGAGAGAGAGAGAGAGAGAGAGAGAGAGAGAGTAAAATTACCCAAATTTATCTAAAACTATTTGCAAGTTCCTTCTCTGTTCTAATGATGACAGTGTTTCGAGAGCAATGTATAATGGTGACACAATGGTCTTACTAAGTCTTCTTTCCTCATACTGAACACCAACAACAATGCCGAACCCTGACATTTTACTTTTTTCAAAAATTACTGCTCCTGAATCACCTTTGTCACTGAATGGTTTGTCTATGTTGTCAATGGATAAATGGCTTTCCCATTCAACAGGATCACCCACTAGAAGCCCTTCTTTCGTGAGACGGCTGGACCGAACCACTCTCTTACTACGTTCAGGCATCAATACGATCGGGGAAGGGGCAAAAGAATTATTTATCAAAGTGTGTCTAGTGGTAACTCCACTCTTACACCATTCTCTCACAACCGATGTATCTGGGACTTCATCCGTCTCAATAACACCGCCGCGCGGGTAATCTTCAGTGCCAATCATTTGGACAAAAATATTTCTTTTGAGAGCTTCTACTTCCTCCCTTTTCAACTCAGCAACTGCTGCATCGATGGTAAATCTTAGATCTTCTTGACCGAAACTGCGCTCTATTAGCACGTTGCCGTAGAAACCATACGAGAGGGTTGCTATAACCCTTGGGGGATTACTGACAAGCTCTTTCAATTCTTCTACATACTTCCTGAAATCTTTATAACATCCAGTGTTTTTCATCTCTGGAGGGATTCGATCTGATATCTTTTGCACCTGGTAAAGTGCACCTTCCAACTCACCTAGTTGGGTGGGTTGCCAATTATCAGGAGACAGTTCGGTTTCGTTACCGGTCATCCGTTTCAACAATTGTTTGCATTTACCTAAGTATGTCTGAAACGAATTCGTGTAGTGGAGCCACCCAGGGTGTATTATTTCGGTTCCCTTTACGTCTCCAATAACATGTTCACAAGAGAGCAAATAAAATTTGTCTTCACCTTCTTTCAAAAAAACACCTAAGGTCCCATAATTATTAACCCCTCTGATGCCAATGCTTGCTCCTAAGCACAGGTGTTCCATCCTTTTTTGTGGCTTAATTGGATTGGGTCGGTCCGCTGTTTTAACCCAAAATCCCTCCACGATGTCTACCGGAAAACCTTTGATAGTCTTCGGAATGTTAGTTTCGCCGATTGGGACGCGACCTTTGCCAAGAACATTAACCACGATGCAAGGCTCCTTTGCCCGCTTTGAATCTGTTACTTTGAGAGAAGGGTACACTGCAGTGATGTTACGATGCTCGTTAAATAATGTGGGTAGAGAAGAGTCTATGATCTTACTAATTTGCTCAGCCTTTTTTTTTTCCAATCTTCTTGACACTCCAGGGGTGATGTTTGGCACATCAGATATTCCACTGTACAGATTCGTCCATATCAGCTTCACGCTCATCTCTTCAAAGGAATTTCGTGCAGCTTCTTTTAACTCTTTTGGTATGTATTTAATGTCACATAACACGTACAGTTCAACGGATACCTGACCATTTCGTTTATCTTTGTATGGCAATACCCTGATACATTCCTTGTGATGAGTTTCAAACGCTTCGGTTTTTTCTATGATGTCATGATACTGTTGTCGTTGTTGCTGTGCTTCTAGTGAAATTAAACACAAGACTATGTTATGTAGGTCAATGTGTCTTTTTTCCAATCAGTTTAGTTATAGTTGCTTTTCGCTAGCATTACGTTTACGGACATTTTAGTCATGAAAATTGAAGATAAAATCAAACTGGTCATATTTGAAATTTTTGTTTGTTTGTTCTTTTTTTAAGTAAATTAGATTTATGTTTTGGTAATTTGCATGACTTATGGTCGTGGGTCGCGGCAAGAAGTCTTGTGAGGTGGGTGTGGCCGTGTTTACAAGTTGTGAATGATCAATAATTGATAATAATATGAAATTTTTTAGTGAAAAATCCTAAAAAAGCTCCTAATTTGATTGACTTGAAAAGGGGAAAGTGCCATTCTTACCGATATTTGTGATCGGGAGTTCAAAGTGGGGTGTAGCTTAATTCAGTCATTTGTGCTAATTCAAGAAATGGGCGATAGAGTGAACAGTAAATTTTGGGGAAGTGACGTTTCCGCGTGATATCTGAACATGATAACTTACCAGCATTAATATAGCTCACGAAGAATCCTGTAAATTTGAAATGTTGAGTACTTCAGTGAATGTAGAAACTGGAGTTGGTTCTCAGTGTATTTTTATGCCACCATAAAAAATTACCTACGATGAGCTAGCGAATATCAGCGAATATCCTGGCCCATTCTACTGCACAAATTTATGATGTAACAAAGTTTGACCGCTTTTCAACTTAGAAAATCAACATAATACCAGCTCAATTAAGTGTAAGGTTGTGCAAGATTTTATTGAAGATCATCGAGGCTCGCTTGGCATGCTATTTTCTAATTTTTAGCCCAGAATTTTTCTTCAGTGATTATCTATTCCCAATACTGTAATAAACCAAATAAGGAGCACTCTAAACATCAAATGAAAAGCAACTGATTATTAATTAAAAACGTAACTATTGATCAACCGCGAGTTGTTTCCACATCAACGTGCGACTTGAACCTTCGACCCACGTTCAACAACCATTAGTCAAACTCCAATACGAATCGTTGGCCGATGTGTAACGATAGTATGATCAGGTTTACTTTCTACGAACGGCGGACCGAGATCAACTAAATGCGCACCTAAATTCAGTTGATTCCATCCAGTTCAGTTTCATCTAATTACTCGGGCTTCTTGTGGAATGCCTGAGTCATACATTGGGCTTCGTTATTTTCCGTTTTGAGACGCAAAACGCAGTATAGTAAGTAAGCGCATGCGCTGAGTATGCTTTTTCAGTTGCGAAGAAAGAAAACAACTATAGGGCATTCAATCATGAAGTGTATACCCAGGTAAGCTTCAAAGCACATGGTTATCATGGCGGCCAGAAAGATGCCCCGTGATTAAAGGGTATGTCTTTTCATACGCTCAAACTACAAACAAAAGCACACACTGTTCGTGGTAGGCCCATACTAAAAGATGTTGAGCGTTTTTGGATAACAAGCAGAAATTAAATTAGACAACACTCTTCGTCAGAATCCATGCAGTTGTAAACATTCATAAGCAAAGAAGCCCGAGTTCACGCAGTTATGCGTCTAGTTTATTTTAATATTGGCGCTAGAACTATTTTGTTACACTATCTTTGTTATGGAACAAACAAAAACAGAATCCTAGGTGATTCTTTGCATAGCTAGTCCACAAGCTTGACTTTAAAAGCTCCCAAAGCGCTAAATTGCGCATCTCGAAAGAGATTAAATAAATAAAAACAACGCGCTCGAATCAAAGGTTTTCGATTATAATCAGTTATCTTCAGCATTTCAGGAGTCACGCAAATTTTTACGAGACTAGCCGATCTTTCCTGCTTTATTTTAAGTACAACAGTTAATCGTTTGAACCCGGGAGTAACATGTGATCATGCAATCAGATCATCTGAGTGAGAGTAGTCTTAAGAAGGACTGTTAACAATGATAGTGACAACCTAAGCGGAAATCTTTCTCAAAGTTTTTTCAAGACTAATCAGTATCAAGTACCCTGCGAGCAGAGGCCCTTTAATCTTCCTAGATTAGTCGGGAAGAGAAAGGAACCTCTGCACGCCGCCTCGACTTTCCCTGTTGAGCATATATTAAATTCATGCAACCGAGCCTTGCTCAGCCTCGATTCCGTTAGCATTTAACCATTCATTTTGTCGCAACTTCCCGAAGAAAGTTCTTTCACAACAACAGGGTAGAGTTGGTAAATTAGCGACTTGCCATGACCGGTAGGCAAACAGACAAACGTATCTTTACCACACAGAAATATAAGCAATACCTTTGACTGATGTTTAGTAAGAGCATCTATTCCACGAGTATTTACCTTATCGAGAGCACTTTTCACAGCTTTATCAAACACATCCTTCGAAAGAGAAACTGCCGCTATTTTGTGAAATTCATGAGCGTAAACAATGAACTGTGGGCGCCTATTTAGTCAGCAATTTCTAACAACACGTATGCGCACTAAGCCGAAGCAGGGAAAACTGGTTTCCAACCGGACTAACTCATCCGCTTCGGTGGATGAGCGGCTCAACAGGGAAAGTCGAGGCGGCGTACAGAGGTTCCTTTCTCTTCCCGACTAATCTAGGAAGATCAAAGGGCCTCTGCTCCCGGGGTAATTACCAAGATGATCATTAGACAAGGCTTTAGTTCGTATTCCGTTACTTCAGCAGCCTAAGTCAACAGCCAAACGACCTAGTTTTAGAATTTATCGTTTTCTGCACTTATTAATGGATTTGAAGCAACTAGTTCTAAAGCAATAAATATCTTGAAAGGTGTCGGAACAAAGTACGTGTAATTTGCAAAGCCAAACCGATTATCAGCGGTATCAGTACTTAGACACAAATCCCGTTCATCACATAGGGGAAGTCCGTTAACCATTTCTTCCACGAGTTGAAACGTTTTTCAGTCGTCAACTATTTTCTTGCCATATCAAACCTGATAATTTAGTAGTGTCACCTCAGTTGCTTTCAGATGGGTAGTCGTTCACATTTTTCGAGACTTAAGTGGAGAAATGCTTTCTGCATAGATTACTTAAACATAAAAAGGTTTTCTTGTTTAATTTTGAATTTCTGAAACGAACAAACTAACGAAGTACAAAAGCATATTGATTTTGAGTTACCTTCACTCTCCTCAGTTGCACTCTCAGTCAGTTCACCTTCTGGTTTATCCTGTTGGCCAACCAGTTTCTCTGCCTCTGAAACATTATCAAATTTCTCATGTAATGCATGCTTTGATCACGAAGTTTGATTTTAAAATATTTTAACAGAAAGACTAAAAATATTTTTACAGGTTTAAGCTACCTATGAATATGCATGTATATATCTTAAACAAAAGAAACATGACAACATAGAATTTATTTGCTTTATGTAATAAACAAGAAACACGTTGTTAATGATGATGTCACATGTGCGTCTGTCCTCCGAAAGAACAGAAGTGAATGAAGTAATAATCAAAATGCGTGTATGATTAAACTTATCAAGTAAATATATATTTTAGTGCAATTCAGTTTGGAACACAAGTAAAATTGAAACATGAGACAAGAGACAAGACTGGACTAATGTGCTCTCAATCGATTTGAATAAAATATTTCGGATAACCTTGGTTCAAAAGCATTTTAAGAAAGTTCCGAACAACTTCCAAAATAAGTATAACACTCCGAAGAGAACTGATCCATTTTAAACAAAAAGGTCAATATACTCAGGGTACAGTGGAGTGAAAAGGGCATATCTTGCCACCACTTTTTAGATCCGCGACTAAAAAGAGTGAAAGTCGCGACCCGCGACAAGCGACCATTACTCAAACTCTTCGAAAAGCCCCTGTGCCCTCCCCTTGAACGTTGTAATGTATCATATAAAAATGTACTGCATATTTCGAAAAGCGAGCAATAAATGAAAACTACGCTGTCTAATAGAAGGGTCCAAAGGTTTTGGATAATAATCAGTCATGTTCAGCATTTTGGCAGTCAAGTGGGCAAATTGTTACAAGACTGACCGATCTTTTCTGCTTCATTTTAAGTGATACATTCAATTGCTTGAACCCGGGAATATCATATGATCGTGGCGTGTGATCTTCCGGATGAGAGTAGTACTAAAGAGGACTGTTATTAGTAGTAGTGTATGACATTTCAACAACCGTAAGCAGAAGTCATCGTCAGAAGTTTTCCCGAGACTATACTTTTACTCAGACGGTCACACTACATGGTCATCGTTAACAAATCCATTACTTTTGATGAGCAACTCGCAGTTGTTAATCAGCCATAACTACTCTTACTCTAGTTTTCTATGCTGTCAAAAAATGGAATTAAAGCCACCAGTAGGTCTTTTTGTATCATCAACTGAGAGGTTTATGTATCATGTTTAGAGACCAGTGACACTTTTGTTGTGGTTCGTGTACCGTTATACCAGTAGCTGAATGCAACAGCCAAACATCGTAAGTTTTCAAATTCCTCTTTTTCTAACTTATTGTTGGATTTGAAGCAATTAACTCACTCTGAAGTAATGAAAATCGTAAAAAGTGTAATAGTATTGGTTTTCGCATTCTGCCGTCCGATACAGTAGTCTGGCTTTATTGTCCCGCGATGGCCATATTCACGGGTTTTGCTAAAAGCAGGCCCGCGGCCCAGCGGCCCGCGACGGCCCAACGGCCTGGCAGGCCGAAGGCCCAGCGGCCCCCAACGGCCTACGACCCGGAGGCCAGTGGCCCAGTCCTAATTTTCCACAGTTTTTTTGTCCGGCAATAAATCCAAGCCCATGCACAGATACTGCATCGGGTTTGGGCGTGCAAAACGGACGACAGTGAGTTTGAATTCGTTTACTATTTAATCATTTGAATCCATGTTTCTGTTTGTTGCATGTTGTTTAGATAAAAACGTTTTCATTCTATGTTCATTAATCGCTCTACAGAAACCGATAGCACAATAGAGGACTTTCATTATCGAACGATGAAAGTTATTTTCAAACCATACTTTGAAAGTGAAAATATCTTAAGTAATGCGATATGTGAACTGCGAATCTTTCCTATACAGAGACATGTCGCTCTATTTACAGGAACTCCACCCCAAAAGGAAAGCGTGTTCTCAAATGTTGCTTCCGGCGATGTAAGTATCGTATTTATTCGAATACGATAAGCGCCCTGGGCGCTTATTAAATTATTGGTCCTCAAGGGCGGTGGGCCCTTATTCGAGGCTGGACACTTTTTAAATTTGCACCATTTTTAGCAGGTAGCAGAATTTTAACATTTCAGTGAAAGTTTTTGTAAATTACGAAGGAAACTCTTTGTTCGGGTAAGTCTCTTAGTGATATTTACTCCATTTCAATCTCATTGTCACCAAGGTCAACAAGCGAAATCTACTTCTCAGTCGGGCGACCGATCGATTTGCCGACGTTACGTTGCCGGACATCGAGGAGGCAGCTCCATATTTGAGGTTGGGCAAAGAAATACGGTACATTATATCGAGTGTCAAAGGATTACTTTTCGATCAAGGCGAAAGTGAAAAATTAAAGCCCACCATCAAGAAACTCAACAGAAACATGGATTCAAATGATTAAATGGTAAACGAATTCAAACTCACTGTCGTCCGTTTTGCACGCCTGAACCCGATGCAGATCTGTGCATGCGCTTGGACAAAAAAACTGTAGAAAATCAAGGCTGGGCCACCGGGCCTCCGGGTCGCAGGCCGTTGCGGGCCGCTGGGCCTTCGGCCTGCCAGGCCGTTGGGCCGTCGCAGGCCGCGGGCCGTGAGCCGTGGGCCGCGAGCCGCGGGCTGCTGGACCGCGGGCCTGCTTTTAGCAAATCCCCATATTCACAGGGCGAAAATTACGATTTCAGAGTAGAGGCATAACATTAGCCGTCGACCTCTTGATATTTTAATTCCGCGAGAGGCCTCTTCCGGATATTGTTCCGTGAAAGCCCCTATTCAATATTGAGAATTGCGTGGAAAGAGTTCCGGTCCCCTATTCCGCATGCTGATCAGAAGCCAATTTCTGCGCACCAATTTAACGTCGAATTACGGCGGTGTTCAACTTCCTGTGGTTTAGATACTAGTTGTTACAAAAGTCATAGTCAGTCGTAGTGGTGGTGCGTGTTATGCCGCTGATCAGGGCTATTCTCATGCGCAAATATGACTTTTGCTCTGAAAGGAGTAAGACACAAGTCAAAACTCTGGCTATAACAGTAATTTACAATACAAGTCCGAAAAAATAATCACAGGAGTACCGAGAGCGTTATACAATAAAGGACCACAAGCAAAAAAGATAAACAAAAGCCAGAAAGCGAATTAACTAGAATCTTTGGCTCTTACCAAGGTCTTTAGAACACTAGCAGACAAGATAAGTATGAAATCATGGCTCACAACCATTTAATACAACGACAACTTCAAAATTAGAAGGACTGAGGAGAAAAATTACTCATTAGATTCACCCCAAATAGCAATAGGTATAAACATACATGAGAAAGGAATAAAACCTCCTTTTCTGAGGTCGATTTGTTGAAAACGTACTGAAAAAACGGTGTACCTTTTGGTTTGTTTTGACACGCGCGGAAGTAAATATGGCCGTCAACCGCACTCATCTCGAATTGTTTTTAAAACATAACCAAAGTAAAGCACACGCTCTGATTTGGTCACTTCAGCGTCCACCATTTTCCCATGGGTGTACGCTGCTAACGTGAGCAAATGCAAAGACAAGTTTTCCGCGCGCACTTGTTTTTTTTGTGGTCACGTAAGATTGATTAAATAAAAGAAAACACTTTTGCTACAATGTAGCAATGTTATGCTATAAAACAAATGGTAAACGCCACGGTGTATACTATTGAGTTATGGATACTAGAGTCGCTTTCGGCTATCGCCTCGCGCGACTCTTACGCTTCTTTCGTGCTTAGCAACCTCCCGTGTGCACCATAACTCAATAGTGTACGCTGTGTTGTTTACCATTTGTTAATTGGTGAAATTACAAACAACCATTTTCAGAAGACAGTACACTGTTAATTTCACAGTAAAAATAACAAAGATTGTACACTCAAGGAAAATTAGTCAATAATAACCCACTAGGAGCCTGTAATGGCATATACTTTGTTAGCTCCTATTACTGTCTTCAAGCTCGAGTGAGCAAACTTAGGGAAGCGCCTCCAATGTTGCTATGTGGCGTCCTATTGGCAGAGTTCATTTGACGGCAGCTTTTAACAAAGAACGATAGAACCACTCCCCCTCCCTCTTGGGTGATATAGATAATTACAGAAAATATCATTATAAACTCACACACTTCATTTAATAAGTGTAATGTAAAGAACTGTACCTTGTGCGGAATGAAGGCTGACATAGTGTTCTTCATGGATGTGTCCCAACATAAGTGTCCTGCTATTTTCAGCAGGACACTGTGGCCGTAAGATAACATCGTGATCAGCGGAAAGACTGCTGACCACATGAATGCAAGTTTTGTAGCAGTTTGCTGCGGCACAAAGAATTACATGGTCACCCCAAGCGCCATCTTGCTCCATGTACGTTAAGTAATCAGCCCATGATTGATGTCCATCGACGAAGTAAAACAGATCTGTTTCATCCGGCTGCGAGAAGACCAAAACAGAGAACGAAAGTTAGAGTGTAAAGTTAATGACACACTGAACCAAGTTGAGCACGTTTGAAGGAGTCATCAGAAGAGTAAATAACAAAGAGATACAAAACAACAGTAAAAACGGATAATAACCAGTCAGAGTAATAAACACAGGGATCTACATTGGATATAGCAGTCTCAACTCTTCAAATTGCCCTTTTGAAACATTGAATATCTAGTGTCCACCTTATCCAGAGTCAAGGTTACCCAAATAAGATTGTCCCGTCTGGGGGAGATTCAACATGTTAAAAGGCGCACTATAAATTGGTAAATTATTATTATTATTATTATTATTTAGTGCAAAGTAGTTTTAAAAAATCTTGGGTTGGCTGCTTTCCCCACGCGACAAAGCCTTTTAATTTTAACAAGGAAGTCTGAATTCATCCGCGACCCGAACATGGTCTCTACTACAACATTTGAACTACATAGCGTGTTTTTATGGGTAATCCAGAAACTTTAAACAATTATTCTCCGAAATGGAGGTGAATAGGGGTGGGTAGTTACCGAGGCGAAGATTCAAGGTAATCATCCACCACTTTCACCGACACTGAGTTAGGAAATTAGTTACGTATATACCAGAAGGCGGTGAATGGTACTTGCTAATCAGTTACCATAGCCAATAAGCGCGGGTGTGGTTTATACTAAAAGCTAATGTCACAGTATTTATGATCTTTATTATCCTCGACAGGAGGAGTAGTGATGTGTTGGCCAGTTGGCCCACATGTAGATTTAACCTTTATGGCGCTCTTAAAGTAACAGTGGTTAACATAGAGTGTAAGATATCAACTTACTAGTTTCGGGTTTTTTCTGAGGTACTGGACCAATATTCGTCTTAATTCCTCAGGTCTGATTTTGAATCCCATAGCAATTTCCAGTTGATCTGACAAAGCATAGAACATGCAATTTCCTGATCCTTCATTATCAACAATTCTGAAGCCCTTGTCTGAAGCAATTTTCTTCAACTCAACTTTTAGGTCTGTCTTGTCATTGACTTTGCTTGAATCGAGTTGTATCTGCCGCAGCTGAGCAATTGACTCAACAGAACCTAAGTAGACAAACGGATGAATGGACAGAGGGTAAATACCACCATGCCCGTGATTAAAGGAGGACCAGAAAAAAAAGGCTTACTACATTATAAATACTTTTTCTTTAGGTCTCTGCGAGTTCTTAGTGATAAGTTTCTTTGATATATAGATGAGCTTTATAAAAAAGGAAGTAAAAAGGAATTCTTAACAGCCAACTGAGCCTTCTATTTGAGAAAGAAAACAAACAACTTTTACATCCTGATTTGAAGTACTTCAGCTTGGTTTTCACGTAAGGTGGGATGAAAATGGCAAATATGACTTAAAATTAACTTGAAAACTCACTGTAACTCATCCAGATCAGAGATTCGGAGAAACGAAACTTTGTTATACACGACTAGCGTTTGAAGTCAGCTCAGGTGTTCATTTCGGGACGTCCCACTTGTTGTAAACGTCATTGCGAGACAGTCTCTCCAAAAGCGGTAAAATGCATTTCGATTCAAAATATCGATTTCTTTCCCATGAATCTGCCTTAGTTTAAAATAAATGAAACCACTCTGGTTTTTCGAAATATTGCAAAATATTTTTCCGAGCGAAAGTCGCTTTAAAGGCCCGTTTTTGACAGCGCAACTCAACAATTAAATTACTCGTCTTTTCAGAAAACTCTTGTTTAAGAAATTTTTTTACTTCACATATTTAGATCGATCTTTTGTGAGAAATATGTTTCTGAGCTAGCAACATTGGATTGGATTGAATAGGTTCGCTGTTTCAATCCAAATCCCTCCACGATGTTTAACGAACAACGTTCAATCAAATTTGGAATGTTAGTTTCGCCGATTGGGATTCGACCTTTGCCTACAACATTAACTTTATTATTTTTATTGAGCATTTTAACATTAAGAATTGTGATCGAATGCGCATAATACTCGAATAAGATTAAAACGAAAGTTATATTACATGCTCTCTTTAATACTAAAGCTTCATCACTTGTTACATATTTCCTTCCTAATCGGTAATGCAGCATAACCCATGACAAGTAAGAAATAAAAGAGAAGTTAGGAGTAGAAAATATAAACCTAAAATAGCTTTAGACAAGTCGCTATAGGCCTCTTTAAAATAGTGCGTCTTAACGAGTCTCTTAAACATATCAAAATCATTCTCTTTCCTAATATAGTCCGTAAACCGTTCCATATCTTTGGAGTAGCTGCAGTTAATGATCTGTCCCTAAGAGTGCACTTGAACTTAGCGGTAGGGTTTTGCAAAATAACGCCCGCATTACTCCGCAGGCTATAACGAGAACATCGTTTAATATTTATAAGATTAGTTAAATGCGCAGGCCTCACATTGTGAATAGCCTTGGAAGAGATCACAGAGATTTTATAGCAAATTCGGAACTTCACCGGTAACCCAGTGCCAGGTAAGCTTCAGCTTGTCCGCCGCCATCCATGCCGTATGTCTTCAATACATTCCTGCACAGCATCCACGGCTTCGGTCTGGTTGTCCCCAGAATCCGCCTTAAAGGATAAATAGAGCTGAGTATCATCTGCGTAGGCGTGCACATCCGGAAGGTGAGCCATCACTACTTCAAATAACTTACTAGCGTATATTTTAAACAATAGGGGCTCAGGGCACGAACCTTGAGGGACACCATATATATACACTGAGATCTTCTGTCGAGGTATGATTTAAGCCAGCTAAGCACAGTCCTAGATATTCCAAAGCTAGATTCTAATCGCTTGAGCAACACCTGGTGATTGACAGTGTCAAAGGCCGTACTTGGGTCGAGAAGTACCAGCAGTATGACTCCTCTGTTTATCCATGCTTAACAGAATGTCATTGTGCACCTTAAGCAGCACGGTCTCTGTGCTGTGACCAGTTCGGTAGTCAGATTGTAATAATGATAAAGCTCGAACGTCATCGTGTGATCGTGAACCTGGTTAAATACCCGACATAAACTGGAGGTTACTCACGGGTCATAGTTTTGAGAACGAGATGTCTTTCCCAGATTTTTTAAGACGTGACACGACAAGAGCTTCTTTCTATAGAGGGGGAAATGACTTGATCCCAAAGAAGAACTTAGTATACACGCTATTACTAGAAGAAGTTCCTCTAAGCAGGCTACCACCATAGGGTTGAGGTTGTCTTTTTAGCTGACTTCTGGACGAGAGAGCTGGCGAAACTCATATATGTGCTGATACTCCATTACTGCAGGATCGTCTTTAATTTTGCCCTCTTCTTTCATAGCGGCTCTAACGATTCTAAGTTCATTCCGGATATTATCGATCTTACGACAAAAGAATCCGGCTATGTCATCAGTGAGAACTTTCGAAAATTTTCTGTCAGTTTCCAAGGCCCCACTTATTATAACTCTTTAGAAAATTATATTAAAGATTCTAATTCTCTCCACTCATTCAAAACGAAACTGAAAAAAAAAAACTTCATGTGAATTATCTGCTTAAAAATTCTTATAGTAATTACTTATCTTTCTTCACATATTTGATATTATCTTTAAACACTATATGATCCTCGCAAGGATCATACGTGAAAACACTCGCAGCGCCACGATTAACCCTAAAACAGCTCCATACAATTCCTTATAAGCTCTCTGGGATACTTACAGTGCAAGCCGTGTGTCTTCTCATGGTTCAAAGTGGGGTGTGGCTTAATTAATTACTAACCCAAGAAAAGTGCAATAGAGTGAACCGTAAATTGTGGTGAAGTGACGTTTGCGTGTGATATCTGAATATGATAATTTACTGGCATTAATAAAACTCATGAAGACAACTGTAAGTTTGAAATGCTGAGTACTGCAGTAAATGTAGAGACTGGGCTTGGTTGTCAGTGCATTTTCACGCCACCATAATTAATTTTCTACGATGAGCTAGCGAATACCAGCGAATATCCTGGCCTCTTCTATTGTACAGTTTTATGATGTGATAAAGTTTGACCGCTTTCCAACGTCAAAAATCAACATAATACCAGCTCAATTGAGTGTAAGGTTGTGCTAGCTTTAATTGAGGATCCTTGAGGCTCGTCTTGCAAGCTATTTTCTAACTTAGCCCAGAATTTTTCCTCAGTGATTATCTATTCCCTTTAGTCAATCAAATAAGAAGCATTCTACTGAAATATCAAATGTAAAGCAATTGACCGGTAATTAAAAACATAAATATTGATCAATCGCGAATTGTTATAACCTAATGGAATGGGCATGCAAGTGGCAGTTACGGTTCAATGCAGACAAGTGTGAATCCATGCGTATAACCCATACACGCGACAAGTCTACTTCGCAATATATGTTAGATAAAGTGAAAGACGCGAAGAACTTCAAAGACCTAGGCGTCACAATATCGAAAGATTTCTCATGGGCTAACCATATTAGCATAACTGTGAACAAAGCTAACAACCTATTAGGTTTAATCAAACGTTCTGTTGGCAGCACCAATGTAAATGTTTTCTCAACGCTGTATCTACCTATGGCTCGACCAATTCTTGAATACGCTATACCCATTTGGTACTCTTACCTTCTCAAGGACATTTGCGCCTTGGAGAGTTTACGAAGAAGGGCATCTAGATCAGCACTTCACCAACGCAAAGGAGAAATGCCTTATCTTGACCGTTGTAAATTGTTGAAATGGCCGTCGTTATCTGATCGTAGAATTTACCTATCTTTAATCGAGTGCTACAAGTTCTTCTTTGGTTACTATCATTTGAATTTTTATGATTTCTTAGAATTCTCAAAAGTTGGGTCCACAAGAGCGAATCACCCCTTTAAATTGTATGTTGAAAGCGCAAGACTCAATTGTTAGAAGTATTCTTTTTTTATTAGAATAGTCTCAATATGGAACGATATTCCGAAGAGACATAGTACAGGCTGAAAGCCTTTATCATTCTCTAAAAATAAGCTTCATCATTATCTACTTAATCAATTTTAAACGAGAACCATGCTTTAATTAACATCTAGATTTTTGAATGATGGAATTGTACTTTCATGTTTTTATTGTGCATTTTCTATTTCTGTTCGGGACTTTTAATATAGGGCTAACCTCTTAACTCCCTTTTCAAGATGTTTTATTTAACACTATGTTTTTCCTGTAAATAGGCTTGTTTACATCTTGAATAAAGTTAGTATATTTTAGTATGTTTATGTTTAAACGCGCGACTTGAACCTTCGACCCACAGCCAACGACCATTAGTCAAACTCCAAGACGAATCGTTGGCAGAAGTGTATCGAGTGTTTGATCAGGTTTACTTGCTACAAACGGCCGACCGGGATGAACTAGAGGCCCACCTAGATTCAAGTGATTTTATCCAGTTCAGTTTCATCTAATTTACCAAGAGCCATAATTGAGCCAATTATGGCCCTTGAATTTACTTATTGGCCGCTAAAAATTATTTTTTTATGAGGTCATGGCTCGAATCCCGTACAGGTCTTAATGTCACAATTGCTTAAATAGTGCTGCTCACTGCGAATATCGTTCTCATATACGTTTCTGCAATCGCAGTTCAATATATGATTTTCATATATTCTTAGCATTTGACTCATCATCTTACGGGTTTATTACGAATCACCATCATGACCAGCTCCCAGTTGGCTTGTTAGCTCAGTTGGTAGAGCACTGCACTGGCATCGCAGAAGTCATGGGTTCGAATCCCGTACAGGCCTGAATTTTTTTCAGGTCTTAATTTCAATATTGCTTAAATAGTGCTGCTCACTGCGAAGATCGTTCTCATATACTTAAAAAATTATTTTGTTACACTATGTCTGTGATGGAACAAATAAAGTATTTGAGTATTTGAGTTTTTTTTACAAAGTACTGGAGTAGAAACAATAGGATATAGGTCCTTTACGAGGTTTAAGCTCCAACAAACCCAACCATCCCACCCACCCTAGGGGAGGACATTCATCACACAGTAATCTCGTGCGTGGGAAATTAACGTCTCCTATCTCTAACCCTGCAGGAGACGGGACCTCCATTTATTCGTCTCTATCTGAGAAGTCTAGAATACCTAACCATTTCTTGATGTTATAGAAAGGCAGCATATTCTTCTCAATTATTTTAAGACCTTGTGTGTTGGTCCGGCCGGGGCTCGAACCCTCGACCTCCCGCACAACAGTCCAGCGCTCTATCCATTGAGCTAACTGGGAGGCGGTTGAGAGTTTTGATATAGGGCTAACCTCTTAATTCCCTTTTCAAGATGTTTTTATTTAACACTATGTTTTTCCTGTAATAACTTTTTTCCTGTAAAACAGAATGCTATGTGAGTCTGCATAGCTAGTCTACAGGCTGGACCTTGAGGGCTCCCAAAGCACTTCATTGCGCATTTCGAAAGAGATGAAATAAATAAAATTAATGCGCTCAAATCAAAGGTTTGGGATCATAATCAGTTATATCGAGCATTTCAGTCATTCAAGTAGGAAAATTGTTACGAGACTAGCCGATCTTTCCTGCTTCATTTAAAGTACTACTTAACAATTGGTTCATGCTTTAGCGTGCACTATCGAGTTATGGAGCACGCGGGAAGTTTGGAGAGCACGAAAGAAGCGTAAGAGTTGCCCGAGGCGATAGCCGAGGGCAACTCTAGCTTCTTGAGTGCTCTCCAAACTTCCCACGTGCTCCATAACTCGATAGTGCACAGCTGAAAGCATGAACCAATTGTTTTAGAACATAGCCGGTGGAATTGTGCATCAAATGCGACGCGAAAAACGGACAACAATATCAGTTGAAGCGAATCGTGACGGCGCTGATGCCGAGTCTCCTTTTCCTTTGTTTTTCTCTTTTTCTGCCTCATTTAAGAACTCTAGCCCATGGGAAAAGGTCGAAACATTGTCTTCGTTTTCGGACTAGCAGGCCGAGTTTCTGTTTGTATCCATTATTGTCGCGAAATGTATTATTTTTCCCCGCACTAGCAATGGCCGCTCGCGCGAAAAAAAAATTTCTGGCGAAGTCGGATTTGCTGACGCTATCAGCGTGCACTATCGGGATTTTGAGCACGCTTACGTATAATGAATTTGATTGCGCGACTCTGCTAGCTATGTTCTAAT